ATCTTTGTCCACGGACCCAACAATGGGCTTCTGTCCTGTGTGGACTGGCATGTGTGAGTTTAAACTAGACTTCCAGCTAAATCTTTGTCCACAGTCCCCACAAACAAAGGGTTTCTGTCCTGTGTGGACTCTCATGTGTCTGTTTAAACTAAACTTATGACTAAATCTTTGTCCACAGTCCTCACATACAAAAGGTTTCTGTCCTGTATGGACTCTCACGTGTCTGTTTAAAGTACCCTTCTGGCTAAATCTTTGTCCACGGACCCAACAATGGGCTTCTGTCCTGTGTGGACTGGCATGTGTGAGTTTAAACTAGACTTCCAGCTAAATCTTTGTCCACAGTCCCCACAAACAAAGGGTTTCTGTCCTGTGTGGACTCTCATGTGTCTGTTTAAACTAGACTTCCAGCTAAATCTTTGTCCACAGTCCTCACAAACAAAGGGTTTCTGTCCTGTGTGGACTCTCATGTGTGAGTTTAAACTAAAACTCCGGCCAAATCTTTGTCCACAGTCCCCACAAACAAAGAGTTTCTGTCCTGTATGGACTCTCACGTGTCTGTTTAAAGTACCCTTCTCGCTAAATCTTTGTCCACAGTCCCCACAGACAAAGGGTTTCTGTCCTGTGTGGCCTCTCATGTGCCAGTTTAAATGAGCCTTTTGTTTAAATCTTTGTCCACAGTCCTCACAAACAAAAGGTTTCTGTCCTGTGTGGACTCTCATGTGCAAGTTTAAATAAGCCTTTTGTCTAAATCTTTGTCCACAGTCCCCACATACAAAGGGTTTCTGTCCTGTATGGACTCGCATGTGTGAGTTTAAATTAGACCTTCGGCTAAATCTTTGTCCACAGTCCACACATACAAAGGGTTTCTGTCCTGTGTGGACTCTCATGTGTCTGTTTAAACTAGACGACCGGCTAAATCTTTGTCCACAGTTCTCACATTTAAAGGGTTTCTGTCCTGTGTGGACGCTCATGTGTCTGTTTAAATTAGCCTTCTCGCTAAATCTTTGTCCACAGTCCTCACATACAAAGGGTTTCTGTCCTGCGTGGACTCTTGTGTGTGAGTTTAAATAACCCTTCTGGCTAAATTTATGTCCACAGAGCTCACATACAAATGGTGTCTCTCCTGTGTGGACTCTCATGTGTGAGATTAGTTTTGATTTTCTGGTAAATCTTTTACCACATTCATGACAACTAAATGGTTTGGGTTGTGTCTGGACTTCTCTGTGTGACTCTA